TGCATTTCCAAAAAGAGTAGATATTTAGAAATAGCATACCAAAATCATAACCTTCAGGGATCATGTTGTTAGAAGCAACTCCATATTTCAATACACCCTGCAAAGGAAAAGGAAGCTTAATTTGAGTTGTTACTTTTAAAAAAAGTGACCAGCTACATACTTTCAAAAACCTATATTTCAATAAAATGCATGTAAATACATGCATAAAAAATACAAGCTGCATGATGGAAACACTTCAATATATAGCCAATACATCGAAAAACAAACAATTTAATCCTTCAAAACATTCCTGAGCGAAAGATATAACTGCAACACTAAGCCAAAAATGTCAGTCAGAGATCAAGCACAATAGAGCCCAAAATTAGAGATGCATGGTAGACATAATATCACTGATGAGGACAATGAACGATAATAGGGACCCATGTCTTCAGATTTTGCTCTCTTCAAATGGGTTTTGCGTTCTCATACAAGTCTATCGGGCTGCAAAACCCGCTTAAAGTGAGTTAAATGCAGGTCAGTAGAAGGTGAACTCCAGGTTTAAATCCACCTATCCATGAATTCGGAAAGATCTCAGAAGCATCTTATACTGATGTTAAACTGAGTCACAAGTCCAAAGCCCATCTGCACAGGCTGTAAGACACATATCTAGAAAGAAACTATTGCAGATTAGGTTTTGCCATTCTTATCATCCCCTTCTATTTGCATAATAAACTCAGGTACCCAGAAAACTAACAGAGAGAACATAGAGAACATAGATCTATTTGTCAAACTTTAAAAAGTAGGATTGAATAAAATGAAAAGGTTGTGAATCGGAGTTGCATTTTTTTTTTTAATGTATAGCATACCTTTTTGAAATTATCACAACAATTTCAACAAATTTTAAAATGACCAAAAAAAAAAAATCAAATACTATACCAAAGCTTCATTGTAACTTCGATGGTAATACATCTCAGATTTCACATTCCAATAGGCAAACAGATTGTCAAGGCGCACAATCTAGAATTAAACATTTGAAAAACAAGACCATCAATCCTCAAGCACAATTCAAATTAAACACATTGACATATAAATATTATAGCGTACTCACTGCCATATCGCTTGCAACAAATTCATATGAGCTGAAATGTTTGGTTTTAAAACAAGCCAGAAGTTAAAAGTTTTAATAAACTGGATGTTCAATATTATCTGTAGCAGTGGATTTTTTATTATTTCTTTTGGGGACATCTGAGGATTATCCTTTACCATTTTAGTCCAAGTGGGGTAATCAATGCATGACAACTACTTATTTGAATTTCACATTTTTTGGATAACCTGACACTGGATTTATTAGATACAAGTTTATATTGACCTATCACCATCTGTAGTCCTGCCATCTGGTGAATGGCCATTCATATTTTGGTGGAGTCTCACTCGTGGCGCAGCATTACAGTTACTTGGATTATTCTCACAAATGTGCACATTGGCCTACAACTCCTGAGTTCTGTTGGTCTGATTAGTTGCCATTTACTTTTGAGGTGAGTCCCACTTCAAGCACTGTAACACTGAAAACTTCAAAATAAAGGATTTGCATGTCAGATGTTTGCAAGCTGCTGGGAGTTTATTTTTTATTTTGTGTTTTTAGTTTGTTACATTCCTTTCTTTCTAATTCAGCACCAGTTTATAACAGTTATGATTGCAGTAAATTACTTCATTAGGAAAACCTACAGCTTCTAATTATATTTTCCGGGCCCTCTGGTTTTGCTTTTTGGTTCCAACAGAAACTTGCTAAAGCAATTCAATATATAGGTCAGATGTAGAGGACATGTGGTCTGGTATGGCCACCCAGGATGCATGCTCAGATAGGGGTCTGGCAGGGACTTTCAGGAGGGTGTACCTCATGCTTTTCTTGTTTTTTTTTCTGCAAGGTTCCACCTTAAAGTAATTCTAAAGACTTGCTTTTTTTTATCTAAAATAAAAAAAGATGGTATATGAAGTCAATCTCCCAGACGCGTCGTTCGATAGCCCCTGGCTATCAGTATACTTACCTACTCTGTGCACTGGTATTGCACATAGTTGCCCTGAACCTCCTCTTCTGGGGTCTTCCGCCAGCACTATTGTCTCCTCCTCTTCTGTGTCTGCCACAGTAGCAAATCACTTGCTAGGGGGGCAGACGTGCAGGCTTGCTCCTGAGCCAGGCTCTGTGCCCCCCTTAGACACACACAGCGTGACTCCCACACTTCCCCCACACCCACTCTCTCTTCACTGGATTTTATTGACAGCATCAGGCAATGGCAGCCACTGCTATCAATCTGTTCTGTGAAACCAGTGAAATATTACAGTGCTGCTGAAGACGGGTACAGTGCTGGATCAATACTGGACTCAGGTAGGTATTTAAGAGGGGGGGGGGGTTGCACACCCAATTGACAGTTCGCAAAAGAGTCTCCATAGACTGTAAACAGTGCAGAAGTCTCCCTCGTGTTATTTTCTCTTATGGTCAAATGTTCTTAGCCTACAGTGTTAGGCTATTTTCTTTACTGATGAATGTTAATGCTCATGGTTGAATGCTCCTATAGTTGTTTTTCTCTTAGCACCAAATGGCAACAGGCAAACTAATACACGCATATTAAAAAAATTAGAGGTGTTATTCGTTGCAATTCCACAAATGTCAACAAATTCGGAAAGTGATTTTTTTTTATATATAGACCCCATAGTATTTTACGAAGGACAAACACAGCTTTCTTTTTATGATACAGTTTTGCAAAAACACATTTTTAATGCAATTCTTACGCAAAAAAAATATCAAAACTAAAAAAACATTTATTTATTATGGATTAAAAGTATACATTTTATTCTATAATTTGTCCTGTTTAAAATGACACTAACTTTATGATTCTGGTAAAAAGCAATCCAAAGTTATTTGCAAATGAAAAAAAGTGTTTTTTGGGTTTTTTTTAACTTTGGGCCTTTTAAATGAGACACAAAAAATACCAAATAAAGGAAATAAAAGTTAAAGAAAGTTTAAATATTAGTTGTTTTAAAAAAAATCATAAGGAAAGTAATAGTGGGAGGGAGAATTGGAAGACTTAATTAGGACTAGAAAGGGTAAAGTAAGTGTTAATAAGGGGTAAATAAATACAATTTTTTTTTTAAATACACTTGCCAGGTTGCTTTAACTGACAACATTATACAGATAAAGCTTGTCTCTTTGATCTGAAGATAAATGAAACAGAGTAGATACAAAAGTGACCATGTTATTTTGTATCTCTGGTTTGCATCCCAGTCAAATGGTTCTTTATTTGACAGCAGCAGCTGCTCGAGCGGCTATATTCACATGGGGGTGGGGGTGGGGTGGGCATGTAAGAGGAACAGAAACACTGGATGTGCTACACACATGGTCTGCGTACTTTGATTACTTTTTTTGGCCATGTGTAGCATGTCCAGTGTCCTTAATAAGAAAATAGCAAAAATAGTAATTGAAATCTAGTCACAAAATCAACATTTATTGTGGTCGCAGCAATGAACTGGAAAATCATGGTTCTAATGAATACCATTCAATTGCAGCATCTATGAGGGTTCATGATAGACCTATCCATCCTGTCCAGAACTGCTGTACCTGCGAATTCCGCACCGTATCAGAATCGCACCCCGTTCATGCGAACCAATGTGGGTATGTGTTAACAACACCCCGAAATTGGTCCGCAAAATGCGGTGCGATGTGCAGAATCGGATCGCATAGGTGTGAATACCCATGCGATTCGATTCTAGTGCGGACCCAAAAAAAGGTTCCTGCACCTTTTTGGTGCAGGTGTGGTGCGATTTAAGCCATACAAAAAATCGCACTGCACACAAATCGCATGTGATTTACACAGGAATGCGGTGCAGTTCCTGTGGGAATCACATGCGATGTACCGCACCGCATTAGTGTGAACCTAGCCTCATACTTGTCTCATCAAGAACGGCTCAAAAATGACTGCACAGTTGACAATATAAACACCACTACAATATGACTTAAACAGGAAACATAAAAGGGAAAAATGGTCAGTTTCATTACCTTGTAAAACAACTTGGCAGATTCATCATGAAGACATGGATTCCAATTTTTATCAGATGTCTGTCAAGAAAAGTTTATTCTTCAGTTAAAAATATTCTGTAAATCTTTATTTGAAATAAATATACTGAAAATATATACCTCAGTATACATGCAAAGCAAAGCCTTAGGTCACCCAAAAATATTCTGATTTTCCTTATTTCAAAAGAAATACATTTGCACTTCTGCACAGTCACACACACAAATTATACCCAAATTGAAGTTTAAAAATACAACATAAAATAAAGCAAGATTAAATATAACCAACATATAAAAAAGGACAATGTACTTTTTAACTATTTTTGGTCCTTTAGCATTAAGTCCTCATGCACACTGGACGTTTTTTACAGCTGCTTTTGGCATTATTTCTACAGCCAGTAAACTCCCAGCATGTTATCCTGTGTGTCCATGCACACATAGACTGTAATCAGTGTTTTTTTTGGCTGGAAAAAACACACAGAACTAGTGGGTTTCTAGAGGAGTTTTTTTAGCTGTAAAAACGCTCTAATGCTGAAAAATGCAGTAAAACGTGGCAAACCAGTGTTTTTGAATGTTTTTTGAGCAAAAAAAATTTTTTTTTCATTAAAACAGGCTAAAAACCGCAAACGTGGAAAAAAACGAGCCAAACCGCTAATGCAAAACCACTAGAAAATGCTGGAATACTTAAGTTTTTAACATGACTTTACACAGCTAACGTTACCAGCGTTATTAAAACTCCCAATGAGCATGGAGCCTAACAGGTCTTTAATCAGGTGTGCAAAAAAAAACTATATATCTGCCTTCCACTTCCCTGTGCTTCAAGAGCTCTCATCATAGGGTTAGGTTAGTGTAAACCAGGGGTCCTCAAACTTTTTAAACAGGGGGCCAGTTCACGGTCCCTCAGAACATTGGAGGGCCAGACTATAGTTTAAAAAAAAAAAAAAAACTATGAACAAATGCGGACACAGTACAGGAGATGACCAGAGACTGCGGACATAGTACATGAGATGACCAGAGACTGCAGACACAGTACAGAAGATGACCAGAGACTGCGGACATAGTACAGGAGATGACCAGAGACTGAAGACATAGTACAGGAGATGACCAGAGACTGCAGACATAGTACAGGAGATGACCAGAGACTGCGGACATAAACGGCGGCGGGAATACTGGGCCGGCCGCTTCATAAGATGCACAGACATTTCCCCCCAAGTGTGTCTTATGGAGCGAAATATACAGTAAATGCAGGAGAAGCTTGTTGGGTCAGATCTGTGTACAATGTAAAGAGAGAGGGGGGGGGGGGAGATATAAGGAGGGGAGAGAGAGAGGGGGGGAGAGGAGGGGGGAGAGAGAGAGGAGGGGGAGGGAGAGAGAAGAGGGGGAGGGAGAGAGGGGAGGGGTATAGGGGGAGGGGAGAGAGGGGGGTAGGAAGAGAGGGGGGGGGAAGGGGGGGAGAGAGAGGAGAGGAGAGGAGGGGGAGAGTGAGAGGAGGGGAGAGTGAGAGGAGGGGGGGGGGGGGGGTGAGAGGAGAGGGGGAGGGGGGGGGAGAGAGGGGGAGGGGGGAGGAGGAGGGAGAGGAGGGGGGAGAGAGAGAGAGGAGGGGGGGAGAGAGGAGGAGGGAGAGAGAGAGGAGGGGGAAGAGAGAGAGGAAAGGGGGAGAGAGAGAGAGGAGGGGAGAGAGGAGAAAGGGGGGAAAGAGAGAGGGAGGAGATCGATCATCTATTGCACTTATCTAGGGTCCGTGGCCGTGATACCTGACATGCAGCTATGGACTCTCCTCTTTTGCTCCCCCTCTTCATGGTCAGCTCTAGGCTCCGCCCCCTCCGGCCGTGACGGTTTCATGCACTGATCAGAATAGATGGCCGGCTGGCTGCAGAGAGGCCAGGTGACTGGTGCAGGTTCATAAGCCGAGCCCACCTTCCCCTGTTCTAGAATTGCTGATCCCGCCCTCCTGCCTCCCGCCCGAGCCCTGCCGAGCTCTCCCGACTTGCCAAACCCTAGTCCCTTGCCTCGTGGCAGATACGCCCCTGCCCGGTGGGCCGGATAAATGTCCTCGGCAGGCCGCATGTGGCCCGCAGGCCGTAGTTTGAGGACCCCTGGTGTAAACATTTCTGAGTTTACATTTAGGCCAGCTGTGTCTGCATTGTAACTACAGAAAATGATAGAGAACAAGGAAGGCATTTTTCCTGTATATTGGATTTATTAAATATTTTTAAATGCAGGAGCCAAAGATGACTATTTTTTATACCACACAACATTTATGTATTCACTGGGTATCAAAGACTGCTAATTCCTGTGTAAGTCTTGCTACAGTTTAGAGAACACGTATCTTAAGACCTGGACTGAGAAAAAGAAATGTAATATAGATCCTTCTATAATTCTCTTTTTATATTTCAGGGTTGGTTGCTAAACTAATTCATGTATGAACTGCTTCTTAATATAAGGGCATGAGAAAGTGCATACAATACAGAAAGAGGCATGAAATACTACATGTAACAGAGAGACAAATAATACACTGCATGTAAAAGAGAGGTAGTAAGTAACAGTGAGAGATAAAGCACAGTGGGGTAGATTTACTAAAACTGGAGCACTCAAACTTTGGTGCAGCTGTGCATTGTAGCCAATCAGCTTCTAATCTCACTTAAAAAGAAAGTGCAGCACTAAAACAAATGCAAATCCATATTAGTAAAACGTATTCAAATCCAAGTCCATAATCAGGCTAAATGAATGAATTGATAAGATCATAATATATTAAAATCTATATATATTAAAATGGTGACAGTCTGTGGTAGGTGATGGGTACAGAAGATGTTAGTGACTTCACATTCCAGTGGCGAGGTAATAAAATAGTTAAAATATGCACCGGCGGCCTCCTTTCATTATTTACGGTCAGTGTACTTTTATTTCTATACCTTGATTTTATCATATATTGCCTACCCACGTGGATTACTAAATACATTTTTTTAAAAATATACTACACTGTGGGCTATTTTTTGTTGACTCCTCCGTGAGCCAACATTCATCCCCATAGCCCATACTTCATGGCACAGGAGTTGTTCCCAATTGCTGACAGCAGCCCACCAGTGTAAGAGGAGAACGCCCGGTCCAGTGCGATCTATCCTGCCTATATACCCGAGCGGCTTCCACGGTGATATTCGGTGGTTATTCCAAGGGAGACGACCACTGTTCTGCCCAATACCAAGAGGGGGAGAGTCCGTTAGAGACGGCCCAGCTCATCCATCCCATCCCATGAGGGGGACCTCTGGTTATTGATTATATGCGTATTAAAAGATACTCATCTGGTGAGTGAGTATTTATCACCTCGCCACTGGAACGTGAAGTCACTAACATCTTCTGTACCCATCACCTACCACAGACTGTCACCATTTTAATATATATAGATTTTAATATATTATGATCTTATCAATTCATGATTTTATGTTTAGCCTGATTATGGACTTGGATTTGAATACGGTTTACTAATATGGATCTGCATTTGTTTTAGCGCTGCACTTTCTTTTTAAGTATCTTGTGAGGTTTTATTGTGGTTACCTTTTCGTGCTTTTAGCTGCTATATTACTATTAAGAGCTCACTGAGTATACCGTTTTAGCTTCTAATCTCAGCTTGTTAAATTAAGCTTTGGAAATACAACCTGGAAGCTGATTGGTTTCTATGCAGAGCTGCACCAGATTTTGCACGCTCCAGTTTTCGTAAATAGGGGTGGATAAGCAAACACTGCACACTGGCACTCTGACAGCCAGTGGCATTTCTAATGTGGGGCCCCGACGCTGCAATCCTATAGCCCCCTATAGTGCTTGATTTTTTTGGGGGGGGGAGAAGAAGATTTTTACTGACACATAATGCTCATACATTTTGGGGGCGCCGTTTGGTATCTTCGCCATGGGCAGTAGATGACCTTGCACTGACTCCATGTAATAATGGACAAAAGGTACTGCATGTAATACAGACTTGAATCACTGTACATAATACAATGGGCTTAATGGGTAATAAATTCTTCCCTTGCCAAAGCAAGGACAAAGATGAACAAAAATATCCATCACAGACTGTATAGTAAAGGTGTTCCTTAGTTACATTCACAGACAAAAAATTATGGCCATCATCGAATATGCTGGGGCAGTTGGACTGCAGATGTGAGGGCTGTACATATGCGTGCTTGGTGACCACAGCAAGCTAAAAGGGTTTGTGCACACTGCTGCTCCAAAACTGATATTTTGAGGGCTTTTTGGTGTGTCCCTGAACACACCTCAACAAAGGCCTATGTGTCCATGCACACATCAGCTTTTAGAGGAGTTTAGCAGTCAAAAACTCCTCTACTGAATGCGGGAAGAATCACATTCAGGAAAGGAGCTGTTGGGCACAAAAACCAAACATGGCTAAAACAGCTAGGGCGCGTTGAACGCTTGAATGTCTATTAATTTCAATGGGCAGAATAAATTAAAATTGGGCTTTGAACTATGCGCTGGGTGGCAGATCTCACTGTCTAGCTGTGTGCAAGGAAGTGAAGATGTCACTGATGCCAGGGACAGTAGAGCGTGAGTACTGTATACTAGGGTGATAAATCTGACAAGTTTTGCACCATGTTTCTTTTGTGTTTAGAAAACCAGAGAATATCATCCATGTGCAGTCTCTCTGTCTGGTTTAGATAGAAATCAGTGACTTCTCAAAATGTACATGCTGTGGATTGAGAAATTAATAAAAGCTGATTTTGTTTGTTTTTAAAAATGTAAACTCTACTACCCCCACACACAAAAAAGCACCTTTTGTTCCGAAATATTGCAGAAATATTACAATTCTAGAATATAAATGATTGATTATGGGTAAGCTATACCTGTAAGCAAGTCTATATACAGTATTTTGCTTGTACATAAAGACATTTCTCAATCAAACTAAATTGTCAACAATAACTAGATGTATCCAGAATATACATAAGCTAGCTCTTGGAAAAAGGAATCTGGCCATTTAATAAGCAAAAAAAAATTAAAATCCTGACAAAAAACAAATTACTGACACAACTAAAGGCTATTAGCATTGCAAGCATATTACTGGATTATATTCTTTGTCTGGAATGCTTTTAAAATATCATGTAAAAGCGGTTTAAAGTTTTCCCAAATACAGTGTTTATCCTGTAGAGATAGACACTGCTTGCAACATACCGATTTGTGACTTCTTGAGGGCTACACTAGCAGTTTGTCAAATAAGGGCTTCATCCAAAACCACCACGTGCAGAAATGGGTATTTTCCATAAATGCACCACAGTCAGCATGCAATAACAATTTAAATCAGAATAAACAAGACTGATGTCACCCTGTAAAAAAAGCCAACCATCTTTTGATAGACGGCAAACACTGGTTCCTGATAAGCAAGTCAAATGCCTATTCTGCTTCAGCTAAAGTAACAACAACTTTAGGAAATAACATACAAAATAAACTGTTAATTCAGTAGAAAGCCATTCTTCTTTCATTAACTTACACAATTATAGAACAGGTGTGTAGTGCCACAAAACCACAAATGCCACCCATTATTAAACTATGTTGAGAGATGGCATATAAAATGATGGATGCATAGCTCCTTATCTTATCAAATGTTTAAATAGGACAGAGAGCAAAAGACAGCAAGCCTTTTCTGTTAGCATGCAACACGTTTTCTGGTTCTACCTGCAAACTGAGGTTTTGAAGCGAAACACCAAATGAGAGTGGACACTGAGGATTTGTGATCTACAAGGAAAAAAAATGGAATACAGTATCATATATTATAAATCTGCAGTTCTTGAAATATACAACATTACGTCACGTAATATGGGTAAATTTACTAAACTAATTTAAAAAGACAATACAATGTACAGTTAGTAGTCATTCCACATTCAAGTTCCACAGCAGTGAGGCAGAACATTTTCAGAATCACTGAGAATAAAGCCTCTGCTCTGAAACTACTATGTAGCCTTGGAATCTGGAAATTGCTACAGTCATGACCAAAAATATTAGCAACCCTGCAATTCTGTCAGATAATGCACCACTTCACCCAGAAAATGACAAATGTTTAGGCATTGTCATGTTTATTTATTTTGTTTGTATTGGTATAACACAAACAACTGGAGAAACAGAAGCCAAATCTGACACATTCCATGCAAAACTCCATAAATGGACTGGACAAATTTATTCGCACCTTCTCAAAATTGTACCAAATATTTGCATTCCAAGTTTGTGATGCGCATGTAATTTGTAATTAAACTTACCTGTATCAATTAACAGGTGCTGACAATATAGAAATCACACTGGAAACCAGTTGAAATGGAAAAAATTGACTCAGCCTTTCTGTTCTGTGTCTCTGTGTGCCATATGGAGCATGAAGAAGAGAAAAGCAGCAAAGAATTGTCTGAGGATTTGAGAACAAAAACTGTAGAAAAGCATGGACAATCTCAAGGTTACAAGTCCATCTCCATCTTAATGTTCCTGTGTCCACTGTGCACAACATTGTCAAGAA